GGAGAGGCAAGTGAGAATGCAGGCATGGGGAGTCCCTGAAATGTCAGCACTCCAATTCCACAAGGGATTGTGAAGCTAGCTGGCGGTCGAAATATGTATAAGATAAATTAGACAATGTTCAAATATATTTAATTTTATCTGTTATGTCAGTATATGTTTATAAGCGCGTCAGTCAGCAGGAAGGCTTGGTGAGGAGAGGGAGTGTGACAAGCGTGTTCCTGTTGTGCTGTACAAAGTTCTTTTGTGTGGTCAGTCGGCGGGAAGGCTTGGTGAGAAAAGGAATAAACGACGTCCGTCAGCCAACCAGCGGCACGAGTCTTCGTCTTTTATGTTGTGTTATGTTATTACACAGTACAGAGAGGGAGAGAGAGAGGATAACCGACCGCGAAGCAGACCGGTTACACCTGCACTGTAAAACCTTCCAAACCTACAGAACCAAAGATGCTGAGTGTCTCTGCCTCTTGTTCCCTTTGTAGATCCTGTATTTAAGTGCTCCTGAGTTCCCCAGTTCAGTCATTGTTGCTTGTCTCTGCTTTTGTTCCTGCTAATCATTTACCCTGCAAGGGTATTTTGCATTGCAGCCTAAATCTGGCTCATGTTTCCTCTTGTTGGTGTGATTGACATAATATGGTATAACTTGTTTTTCTCACTACCCACAGCTTTTTTCACATAGAAAAGGAAAACCAATAAGCCCTATTAATTTTAGTATTGTCTTCAGACTTACTGAAATTCTATGTTTATTGAAAATAGATGTAGCAGGTTTGGCATCATGTAGGGCAGGGGTGCCCAACTCCAGTCCTGGGGGGCCAGAGCCCTTGTGTAGCTCAGTTCTTTCCCTGTTCCACCATAAATGATTCAGCTCAAGAGCTGTGTGGTAATTAGCACAGTTGAATCAGGAGAAACCCAAAAATGTGCAGGGCTATGGCTCTCCAGGACTGGAGTTGGGCACCCCTGATGTATGTAGGCAAAGGATATTTTGGGACAGGAAACACACTCCTGTAATATTCTGCTCTGCCCCCCCCCCTCGTTCCCAACCTTCTCTACACATCCCCCACCTTAGATCTACTCAGATCTCTGCAACTCTGCTCTCACATTCATTGTACTGTTAAGAAACATCTGTCCTCTCCACCCCTACTCTGTACATTTCCTCCATCAGCCTGAGGTCTTACCTCACTATGATATTTCCTTCACTCAGCTACTGGGAGCTACAATCAACTATCTCCTAATTCCAACTCCTCTCTGCAGTGCAACACCTTTGCTTTCAAATTCTGCCATTTTCAGAGATACACCTGTATTTAGTAAGTCTATAATTGTTAAAGGTTCAGGAAGGAAGACTTCTGTTTGTTATGTGATGGTTTATTTATCTGAATCATAAGTAGCTAACAGACTATTCAGAGCATGAATACCTTATACCCTTTATACTACAACTGTTTAACATAGATTTAAGCATGTCGATAACCAAGCTGTTAATAGGAAAAAAAATTACCAACTCAAAAACATAACAGAAATTATTTTGAATTATTGAAAAATATTCAATTCTAAAAATATATGCAAAAGTCAACATTGTTTAAAAAGTAGTTGAATAAGCAGAAAGATAACTATAACAATTATGCATTTTCATGTTGCATAATGATTACAAAAAAAGGCCATTTCAAATAGTCACAGAAGCCCCTCCTCCACATCGCCATAGTCAATGATGTCAGCATTAGGCAGCCTCCCTTCTTTAGTGGACGACAGCTTGGTCTTGTGTCCGATAGGGTTACTGTGGTGGAGATCTTTCAGAGAGGCACACAAACACACAGAACGGTGGTTGAATGTACACGTAGCTGTAATTGCTGATTGAGGAAATGGCAGCATGCTGTCATGTTTCACTAATTTTATGTATAATATTTCAACTACATTAATATAATTCACATATTTCAATATAATATGTGAATCTTCCATACCCACAGCTAGAGGTGAGAAGTGAATGACAAAATCATTTGATTTCTTAAAAACAACAATATGTGTCTAAGTTTGAATGTATAAGGGTGATTCCTGTTTTGGGGCACATATTCATGTCCTCGTGTTTAACTGGCTCTTATTCTTTTATAAAATTAGACAAATCTTTATAACAAACCTATTTATTATGTGTTTAGGTGATTTCTATTGCTCTAACAAAGATAAATTACTATTTTTATCTTTTTACATCTCTTTAAAGCACCATTTCTCTGGAATATGCGCTCATTTTAGCATGTCCCAAATGCAATGTATTCAACTTCCTCAGTAAATATAAACTATAAAATTATAAAAACCAAAACTTATTCTTTATTATTTTGATAGACTAAGTATATACTACATTTAGAGAAAGAAACAAATATGGTGAAACTTATTTTGTTTTCTGTAATTATATAATATATTATATGTCCCCGCATTCGTTTTCTACCCTGTGAGCCTCTAGTATCTTGGCTCCCTAAAAAGATTACAAATCCATGCAGCCATTTCCACAAAGTGACATCATTTGTTTTTGGGGGGAAATTCAACTGGAAGACTAAGGTAAGCTTTAACTGTCACTCTCTCCTGTATTTTTCTCAATTTTATATTACACACCAGTTTGAAGCACCCTTAAAGTTCCACCCTGTTAGTATATATTATGGGAAATATTTATTGGAAAAAATATTTTTTTAAAACATGTTAAAATAGCTATTTAAATGCTGACCAGCTGTAGAGTGTGTGCTAGCTAAATGTTGCTCACTCAAAGAGCTAGAGCTAAATTAGCTAGAAATATTCCACCCTGTTAGGTTCCACCCTGTTAGGCTATGTATGGGATATGCAGCCTACTGAGTAGAAATTGTGTTATTTTTTTCATTAAAATGACTTGTAGCTTTATTATTTGAGTGTATTTCTTGTGTATGATAATGAATAATAATGGTATAATCAAAATGTATTATTATTATTATTGTATGAGTGTATTTCTTTATTTATGTTACTACAGTGGTATTATTATTATCATTATTAGTTGTAGTAGTAGTATTGTTGTTGTGAATCTGAATCTACTTGTTAAGAGGCCGACTCGGTTCCACCCTGTTATATTCTATTCCACCCTGTTAGGCAATGATTTATAAAAAATATTCCAATCACAACAGTAAGTGTTTGGTATATTTGTATATTGTTTTGTTAAATGAGGTACATATAATGCATCTACATATACTTTTATTTCTAATTAATAAAATTCCTCATACAAGACAACAAAATGGGGACAAGAAATGCAGATTCCCTTATTCTGACATTGTACTCTTCATAAAAATAAAACTGTTAATACTACAAAAATGAAACTTTTATCATAGTAAAAGGGACACATTGTATCCCAGAAAAGTTCAGTATTGTTTGATTTGTACATTATTTAAACTCTGTGATTACCATGTACATGTCCCTAACAGGGTGGAAAACGTCTGGAGAAATATATACAAAAAACATCCCATAATTATAATATTTCCAACCCCTGAGCTTGGCAAACATGCATTCCTCATAGCTACGTATGGTAGAGTCCTGACAAAATGTTTAAACCATAAAATACAATCATTCCAATTTTCGGAAAACAGACAGCTAAATATGTGGTCCAAAACAGGAATCACCCATAACACTTGTTATGTAGTTATAGAACAGATATTTATGCTTATGTGTAAAAGCTCTTCATTAATAACAGTCAATGCAATTGGATGTTTGGGTTGAAATTATATCAAACTCAGTCTCATTGACCCCTTTAGAGCTGCTCACCTGGCTGAGAGGCTGGGTGATGTTTCACAGAGACAATATTGTAGTCACTGCTCTGGCTGACTGCGACATCATCATAGTCATGTGTCTGATCTGTGGGGGTGTCATTGTAGTACTCCAGTGTACCTACCCCATGAACCAGAAAGTCAAAGCAAAGAGATGAATGACAGTTCATATAAATGTGAAGTGTTAGAAGAGAAGAAACACACAATTTAAGCAGGGAAAACTGCATTGCTGAGCTGAGATAATCTCACCTTTCAAATTTTCTGGATTCTCTTTCTCGCAAATAAGGTCGACATGGTTTTCTGGGTCATATCCAGTGGCAGTCTTCTCTAAGTCACAAGAACAGAAGACACACAGCACATCAATGCCTGTTAGGAGACCAATCTCCTGAATTCTTATTTATTACATAAATGTTTTTTAAGATGTTCTGCACCATCATTACTGAAGAGATTCCCTCCTTCCGCTTCCCCCACATCTTCATACCCTGAGGGCAGCTCATCTGGAAGGTCACTCCCTGACACCAGAAGAAGGGCTGGTCACACTTTTACACTCCTGGCAGATCTTTACCTGGCTACAGTTAAGGGGTGTTCAGCTAAATAAAAAGATACATTTCAGTGTGGAGACCTATCCTCTCAGAATTTACTGATATTCTAACTTCATGGACGAACCTGTATGTGGTGGTCATAAGTGCTTCACTATGTGTTCATAAGTGCTTCACTATGTGGTCATAAATACTTCACTACACTCACCTTTCTGACTGGCATCTTTTATCCTTTTGGTAAACCTGTAATCTATTTCCTCATAAATGGCTGGAGACAGCTGTTTATTTCTGTTTAGTTCTGTAAAGCATACAAACAGATATACCACTATGTAAAAAAGTGAGATCCTTACATATACTAGGTAGCCTTGGAACCCACCCCCACCCCCAGCAAGGAGTAGTCAGTTAACATGGATTCATTACAAATCTTTATGCTGTTCATTGTATACATTGGATCATTTCTGCCAAGAGAAGCCCATATATGACACTGACAATACTGCTGCAATTTGCATTTATATAATAGAATCAGGTATGTTTAGTCCAGGCAGGTTAAACCCATGTGTAACCTGAACATAGCTTGTGGGGGTGCCTGCAGTTGGCAAAGTCACCCCCCTCAGAAGATGGGACCCTAGATGTCCTGTGACACTAGTAGGATTGACCAGCCCTGCATTTATTACCTTTCCATAAACTGTATGTACTTATCTGTACTTGAACATCGCAGTTTCTTTTGTTTGCTCAGTTCCCCACCCCTCCCTGCTCAAATGCAGTCCTACCTCTTCTCAGGACCCAGTTCCTGTACAGCAGCCTAAACTGCAGCAGCAGAAGTACTGAGACCAGAAGGCCAATAACCACTGAGGACACTGTTGGGTCAGACTGGCTTGGTTTAAACTGAGTGACAGTGGGAGGTCCAGTGACATCTGGAATGATTTCTGTAACACCTGTTGGAATGATGATAGTAAGGCAGTGGTGGCCAATCTTATCCGCAAAGGGCTGGTGTGTACGCAGGTTTTTGGGATAACCTGTAGGTCAGCTGTTCAAACCCAGGTGTGAGGACTCTTCAGCCAATCAGTCCTCTAATTAGTGACCTAATTAGGGAGTTGCAGCAAAAACCTGCATACACACAAGCCCTTTTCGGATAAGATTGGCCACCCCTGTAGTAAGGGAAGGTAGATACATTTATAGAGTAGATACACTTACATTTAGATATAAATGGCACGCAGAAAATTGTTTTATAGTGTCAGTTTAAGGCAAAGAACACCTATTTCAGCTGCACATTTCTGCATATTAGCATCTATCCATTTTCTGTAACTGCTTATCCTATTCAGGGTCACAGGGGGTCCAGAGCCTATGGGCACAAGGCAGGGAACAACCCAGGATGCGGTGGCAAGCCATTGCAGGGCACACTCACACCTAGGGACAATTGGGTAACTCAAATTCACCTCAGCATGTTTTTGGACTGGGGGGGGGACTGAAGTACTCAGCGAGAACTCCACAATGACAACATTCAAACTCCAAACACATGGAGCCATGGCACAGACTTGAACTCTGGTCTCAGAGGTGTGAGGTCACAGTGCTGACTACTGCACCACCATGCTGCCCCAGCATAAATATCATGCACGTAAAATGTGTGCTTGACATACAATCACTTGATTTACCTAACTTTCTCTGTTTTGCAATTATAGCTTGGATAGTTGTGATCAATAAAGCACATGGGGTAGATATCCTTTGTAGCCTCACCTGCACAGGTGACCCCTGCATCCTGCCTGTGTGAGCAGTCACTCTGCTTCAGTGAGTAAGAGCAGTGCCATAGGTGCAGTTCACTGCCCTTGCAGTTCACCTCATCCAGCCAGATGGCGCCGTCACCCCTCCCGAACCGTCCGGCCCATTCTGCCCTAAGAGCCGGCCCACAGCCCAACTGCCTGCACACCACCATGGCGTCACGCACGTCCCAGGAGTCGCCACACACGGTTCCCCAGGAGCCGCTGTGATACACCTCCACCCTCCCAGAGCAAGTGTCTGCACCCTCTGTCAGTCTCAGGGGCGGGTGGTCTAGTGTGGACACAAGGGAGATGGAGGTTATTTGGAGCAAAATAGACAGCATGCACAGTACATCTAATACATAAATCATTTTCTTCATTGGAACACATAGGTTAATAATTATACACCACAATTATCATTTCCTTATTTAATCTTTTTGTTTTCCTCTTGGTTTTAAAGAGTTTTTAAACATGTCTGAACTCAAATTTGCAAATCCATCAAGCCATAAACTTACTGTTACACAGAGTCTGATCAGAAGAAGCTTGGCAGTGCATGAAGTCTGGAGGAGATTTTGGTTTTTCAGAATCTACAAGAAATACGATGAAGAAAATAAAATTTCAGGGCCCGTATACACAAAACATTTTATCTTACAACTGAGAATACTCCTAAATTGCACTAAAAGTTTTTAACTAAGAGTTTTTTCCTAAAACATATTCACAAAGTGGCTGAGAGCAACTTTTAATTAGTAAAAGAGTCCATTTCTAAGCTAAGAGTAAGACTCCATTGCTAAGACTGGCGTCGGTTCTCATGCATGAACTAGCCTGCAATAATCACAAGGATTGGTTGATGAGAGGCTGGTATGTGCTGGTGAAAATGTATGGCAATGGCAATGGCAACTTTATTTATAATGCACTTTACACACAACGAAGTTAACCAAAGTGCTACAAGTGTATCAGAATAAGAATAAAAGCCAAAAATAAACTAAAATACATTACACATCTAAATCACATCTAAAATACATTACAATTAAAATAAATAGAATAAAATAAATAATTAAAAAACAAATTAAAAATAAAAAAAACAAATTATAAAACAGCCTGCTAACAAACAGTAACAGGGAGCAGGCTTTTTATAACAATGTTCCAAAAATGCGCAATATCCCATAAACACAAATACAGTGGAAACCACTTATAGTGATCATGGTTATGGAGATCAACCACTTATATGGATCAAAATTCTTTGGACAGAATCATTCCTGTACAAATGCTGTTTATTAAATAAATTGCTTATTGTAGTCTGCTTACAGTGTTCATTTTTGGTCACACAGCAGCAAAACCTCATTAAGGTAAGTTTTATGTACAGTACTGTATTATAGCGTATTTAAATTATACACAGTTCCATAATTTGAAAAGCATTTGAAACAGCTGTACTGTATTTTAAACAAGTCAGTAAAATTTAGTACATGGCAAAACTGTTTTATTACCTTATACTAATGTAATAAATATACAAATGTCAATTAGATGACAATCTGCCTGAGACATAAAGAAAAGGAAAAACATTATTAAATTGGTTATAATGATCACTATAAGAGGTTTCCACTGTATATGATTGGGTTGTTTCTATTTGTTGGAGATTATTATTGCATCCCTCATAAGCTCCACAACAGTCATTATTCCCTCCCGACTGAGACAATGTCCTTTAAGTAATTCCGTGTTTGTTTAATGTTTCCATGGCATTCCAACGTAGATTGACAGCAGCCATTTTGCGACTCTTTGTGAATTGGTCTTAGCGACTTAGGAATCCTCTCGACTAATTTTTGGTTCAACCCAGATATCGGTGCCACTTTTAGCACTAAAAGGCTTTGTGAATAGGAGTCCTACATTTACAATTGACACACCCATTATTTTTAGGAGTTTCTCTTAAATAGGTAAGTTAGGAGCTACTTTTAGCCTTAAGATGCTTTGTGAATACCGGCCCTGGTCCATAATAATAAGACTCACGTGGTTGGTTGGACTGACTAACAAACAGTAACAGGGAGCAGGCTGAATTTATTTTCACCTGAGCAGCTTGTTCTGGCAGCTTCTGAGCAGCCATTTGGCCCTTTGGAGGATGATGGACACTGCCAGAGTGATGTGTCATGGGATCGACATTTTCCAAAGTCCAGCCCATTGAGGTCAGGATGAAGCCTGGACATTGTGTAAGTGACTGTCCCCTTGTCTCCACAGCCCAACTGGTGACAAATGACTGCAACTGTTGGTTGTTCCAGACCATCAAAGCACACACTTCCCCAGCTGCCATTGTAATAGACCTCTGTGTGCCCAGAACATCCTTCAGACAATCGCAGCACCTTGTGCTCTGCATGAAGGACACACAAAAAATATGAATTCTTTGTGCTGAGTGTAAAAGGACACAATGCCAATTCGTGTAGAATTGGATCGGCTTTACCTGAACACACAACACCCACATCCTGCTTGTGCCCACAGTCCTTCCTCCCCCACTCCACTGAGGGACAGTCCCACAGGGACGACTCGTTCCCCCCACAGCCCAGCTTGCTTAGCCAGATGGGTCCCGTCCCTGGGCCAAAGTAAGTGGGTACAGGGATCTGCCCACTGAGGGCTGTCCCACAACGGAGCTGCCTGCACACCACCTGAGCCTCGGGCAGACCCCAGGACTCATGGCACACAGTCCCCCAAGAGCCCCTGTGGAAGACCTCCAGCCTCCCTGCACAGTCACTGCCTTCCCCCACCAGCCTGAGGGACCTGTGATCTACCAGAGAAGACAACTATGAATTGCAGGAACAACTATGCAAGAAATACACCATATAACAACATACATCCTATGCAACAAGAGATACAAGTGCAAGTAAACTAATGGTCAGTGACAAATACAAAGTTTCTACAAGAGATCTAAAAAGATTCTTCCTGCTTTGAAAGTCATGTTAAAATTCAGGTCAAAATCTCTACCTCTTGTTTGCTTCCTTTATTGCTAGGAAATTGTTTCGCATTAGGTAAATAAATGGGCTCAAAGCCAAACCCTGTGACGCTCCTAAAATAACGGTTGCCTTCCATTTTAGATGCTCAGTTCTGTACCCTTACATCAACTTGAGGTCTATTTGTCATTAGTCTTTTACAAAACTTGATTTGATTTGGTAATGTTCCAATCCTAATTTCCTGAATTAAATGGTTACAGACTTAGTATTGACTATTATCCAACCTGTTTATACATATGTGAAAAACTGGCATCCCTCCAAAATAGCTGTCACATATACTGCTGGAACAGATCGTGGTGTTGTGGTGAAACTCACTGGAGCAGACCATGGACACCTGGTCACTGGGGCGGCAGTTGAGGACATGTGGAGGTCTGCATTTCCCCAGGTGAGACTCAGTTCCTGAGCAGTGAAAGCCTGTCACACACTTGTCACTGTCCCCTGTCCTTGACAGGTATGACCTGTAGATATTTGTGGCAGAGCCACAGCCCAGCTGTCTGCAGACCACAGATGCATCCATGGAACTCCAGGACTCTTGGTGAACCTTCTGCCAGGTCTGGTTGTAGTAAACCTCCACCCAGCCCTCACAGTCACTCCCTCCAGACAGCAGCCTGACACCCCCAACAGAGGAAGAAGGGGTTGAACCTGTGAAAAAATTCAAACATGAAAAAGGACCCTAATAATGATGAAGAGCCTCCATACTATGGATATGTAGTGTAATTGCTATTTATGATGATATTTGCTCTGTCTCCCTGGACTATAACTGACTTGCCATTCCTCACCAGAGCAGATGACTCCCGCATCCTCTCCATGAGAATATG